CTGCATATGCCTCCACTGTCATGAGCAGAACCTGCCCATGGTCAACTGTTTTGGGACAGTTCCCATGTGTGTGCCCAAGGCATATTTTGCGCACAACACAAGGGTGGACAGCACTCCATGGGGATTTCTGAAATAGAGTGAAAATATACAGAGGGAATCGTGTCCATCACGGCCACGGAGTGCCCAAATTCAGCTGTGGGCGACTGAAGCCAAACACACATCTTGGACTTCAGGAAAGCCAACTTTAATGACCTCAGAAAAATGATAAGCAAAGTGCCGTGGCAACACACCTTTCAAGGAAAGGGAGTCCAAGAGGGGTGGGAAATCTTGAACAAGATTCTCCAAGCACAACTACAAACAATTCTATCAAGACAAAAGTGTAGAATCCAGCAAAGGAAACCCACGTGACTCCACAAACAGTTAAGTGACAGCCTGAAAGAAAAAAAGAACATGTACCAGAACTGGAAGCAGGGCCAGGCCACGAAGGGAGAATATAAGCAAATAGCAAGGAATTGCAGGGACAGCGTCAGGAAGGTTAAAGCGGGAAATGAACTGAGGATGGCAAGGGATGCCAAGAACAACAAGAAAGCCTTCTTCAGATACATCCAGAACAAAGGCATGAGAAAGACAAGGGTGTCCAACTACTTAAAGTAGATGGCAGAATGATAACAGACGTCGAAAAGGCAGAGGTGTTCAGTTCTTACTGCGCCTGAGTCTTTTCCCACAAGGAAATCTACAACCGAGATGAAGTACAAGCTGAAAGTGAGAGATGGTAGCCCAGGACTGACAGATAAATGGTCAAGGAATACCTAGATGGGATAAACCCATTCAAGTCTCCAGGGCCCGATGAACTCCATCCCAGAGCCATAAAAGATCTAGTGGAAGAACTCTCAGAACCACTGGCTAGTATCTTCAATAAATCTTGGAAACAGGAGACATGCCAGATGACTGAAGAAGAACTAACATTGTCCCTAGGGGAAAAAAGATGAACCTGGAAACTACAGACCAGTTAGTCTGACATCAATCCCTGGACTAATTCTGGAGCAAATGATTAAAAAATCCATCTGCAAGCATCTTGAAGAAAATGCAGTGATTAATACAAACCAACATGGATTTATCAAAAATAAATCTTGTCAGACTAATTTAATCTCACTCTTCGACTGGATAACCTCCCAAATGGACAGAGGGAACACTGTGGACATAATCTGCCTAGACTTTAGCAAAGCTTTTGACATAGTGCCACACGACATTCTGATAGGCAAATTGGCAAAAAACTAGACCAGATAGAAAAAGTATTAGGTGGATCACAAAGGGTGCTCATCAGTGGCACCTTCTCAAATTGGAGGGAGGTAATTTGTGGAGTGCCACAGGGTTCAGTCCTGGGCCCAGTACTCTTCAACATCATTATTAATGATTTAGATGAGGAAGTACAATCAAATCAATAAGGACCAGTGCCAAGTCCTCCACCTAGGAAAAAGAAACCCAGTATATTGATACAAGATGGGGAATACTTGGCTGGGTTCAGTGAACACAGCTCAACAGCACTGAAAATGAAAAAGATCTCGGAGTAATTGTGGACAATAGGCTAAACAAGAGCCAATAAGGCAATGCAGCCGCCAAAAGGGCAAATGCCATTTTGGGATGCATTAACAGTATTACTTCCAAATCACAAGAAGTAGTAGTTCCTCTATACTCCTCACTAGTCAGACCTCATCTGGAACACTGTGTCCATTTCTGGGCACCCTGATTTAAGAAAGATGCAGGAAAATTAGAAAGGGTCCAGAGGAGGGCAACAAAAATGATCCAGTGTTTGGAAACGCTGCCCGGTGAGGAGAGACTGGGAGAAATGGATGTATTCAGCCTTGAGAAGAGAAAACTGGGCAGGGATAAGATATCCCTCTATAAGTACCTGAAAGGCTCTCACAAAGAGGAAAGTCAAGATCTCTTCTTGCTGATGGCAGAGCGTGGGACACAGAATAATCAAGTCAAGTAGCGACCACCCAGATTCAGGCTGGACATCACTGTCAGAGCAATACAAGGGTGGAACGAGCTGCCTAGAGAGGTTGTGGGCTCTCCCACACTAGAGACATTCAAGAAGAAACCGGACAGCCCCCTGAGTGAGATGGTGTAAACTGGTGTCCTGCAACAGCAGGGGGGTGGACCTGATGGCCTTCATGGCCCCTTCCAACTCTCCTATTCTATGAGTCTATGATTCTATGTAGATACACACTTACTTCAGGGTGCACCAGGGACCAGATCCTACGGGCAGTTGGTTCTGGGTGGCCAAAATGACTCCTGAGCTTGCTGAGGTTGCTCACCCTTGATCAAATACTTGCTGCAAGTTTGCAATGAGAAAAGGTTTGCATCACCTGGTTGACTCCACTACGCTGCATTTTCTTCACGCAATGGAAAGAAGTCGGCTGAGACCTGGTCATATCGATGCTTTGCAATGTCGGTAGTGCATATCTTGCTTTTTAAGGGCCTTCGTGATACGGTATTAAGACAAGGTGACTGCAGTGTAACAACCACAAAAGTGCTTTTTGAAAAGGAAGGGCAGCTGAAGCATAGGGACTAGAGGCTCAGAGAGGACTTGAGAAGGACAACAAGTGAATGGAACGGTGGGAGGAGCAAGGCAATATTGCTTTGAGACCTGCTTCTCCAGGACTTCCAACACGTCCTACCCTTGTTTGCACAGATGAATGTCCCACAGTAATCAGTGGGATTTACTCTAAAGTAAGCCATGGTACAGCTGCTTTACGTTGGAGTACTTTACAGTGGCTCTGTCCTCAGCAACTGCAAGTACTGTCACAAGGAGAAAGGGGGAAGCTGATCCCCACCTTTTTTGCATTCTAAGGCTGATTCCAAAGGATCGGTCCAGTTTTATCTTAATTGTGGCCACCCAGCAATATCAGGGTGAGGTTGTTAATGAAATGATTGTTGAGAGTCCCCTTGAAATTTTAATATACCTGATTGTTTAGTTCAATCCACATCTTGTAACCAAAGTATATTAAGGCAGAACATCCAGGTCTGTGGCCCTAATCCTGCCTTCCAGGGTCCAAACCACAAAATCTTATTGGGTTTCTTCAGCAGACAAGGATCCAGTCAAAGATAACAACAGGGATTCCCTGTGTGCTCTTCCCATCCCACTAGGGAACCTGGTCAGAGATAACAGCAAGATTCAAGTAGCATAGAGAGTTGCCTTAAGTAACCACCGATTTCAGGTTAAGACCAGGATTCAAATAAAACAAAAGCGTATGTCCGTATGTCACTTTTTGCTAGACTTCTCCAACTCGGCATGTTCTAGATGCATAAGACTACAATCCCCCTAATTGCTAGCTGGGGGTTATGGGAGTTGTGGGTCTACACACCTGGAAGCTGCTAGGTTGAGCAAGTCTATTTTACCCTGCCCTTCATGTCTGAGCTCTAGGCAGTTGGCTGGAAAAGTGTATGCTGTAGCCATTTCTGGTCTGGACCATTTCAGGCTACAGGGAGTGCATGGCACAGGTCTGATGGCTCACATGTAAAACAATAACAACAGCACCACAAATGCAACCTTCTTTGGAAATCTACCATCCAAGAGAAACAACCAAGCTAGATTGGATCGTCCTAATAAGCCACCTTTCCAAAGCTGGGATTCCATGACACAGTGAACTATTGAAGCCATTGAGATGGTGCCTGCAGTCCGAAATGGGTGCAACACAGGAAGGAATATGCCATGGGCCACCTCTGCATTGTCTAATAGCTACCAAGCCCCCACCCTTTTGAAAGCTTCTGATAGCCTTTCTACGCTGGGTTCCAGCACACCCCTACGTCCATGAGTCCATATTGCACTTGCTCCACAGAACTGAGAAGGGGCACTATCAATGACGTTTAGAGCCAACAGATGTTACCTGGGTTGGAAACAGAGGGCAACAACCCCCCAACACAGAGAAAGAGAGAGAGAAATACAACACGGCTGCAGATACCTCACATACCTTCAAACCAGCCCTCACATTGGCCAGAGCGAGATGTTAAGAAGCACAGACTGCCCAACCCTGAGTTTTCCTCCTAAGCTGAGGATGAGGTTCAGGTGGGTATTTTCAGAAGAGAAGCAAGACATGGGCTTTATCTTCTTCGTCTGCACTCTGCTCCCCCAGCTCCTGCAACTCATGTTGCTGTCGACTCCATCAGACACTGAGACCAGAGAGAAGCCAAGGGGGAAGCACAAGGTGGGGAGAGAGAAAGCGAGATATGCCTTGCAGGGAAAGCAGGTATCACGGGGGGAGAAAGTTGCAGAGGTGATGGGTGGGCAGAGGAGTGCTCAACCACAGCTCCCTGCCTCTGCTGCTTCTCCCCTGCAAAGGCCCCAGTCCTAAATTCACACATTCAGCAAACACAGGGCTGCCTTGGTGTAGGGCAAGTCTAATCCACCACAACTGGTTGTGTGCAAGTCCTTTGACAGAGCCCCTGCCATGTTTGTGCTTTATTTGACACCATGTGTTGCTAGAATGGGGTGCATAGAAGGGGGTGCGTTCTACCGCTAGGAAGGGGCAAAATATTTGTGCAAGGCATGGGATACAGCTCCAGACTGTGGCTCCATAAACAACCAAAGCAAATGAGGATTCTTCCAAATGAATCACAATGAGCTTTACAGCAGAGCTACGGTGGGAAATGCCACTCAAGTTAAAGAGGTCGCCCATTTCAAAAACTCCTGTCAGCAAGCCACACCACAGCTCTCACCAGCCACAACTGTTTTCTGCAGGAGCTCCACCAGAAGGCATCAAGGATGCATGAAGATGTTCTTTTGCATCTGCCGTTCATCTCAATGCAGCTGGTGCAGACGGTCCTGGAGAAACTCGCACCCAGAATTTATATATATTTGCTCCCTGGCAGTTTAGCATGGAATTCTTTTAAAAATAATCATAATAATTCAGGGAGGTGACCAAGGGGCATAAGAACATCAGACCTGATGAGAGATTGTCTTGATAAAAATGGGGCACTGGGATGGGAAATGGACATGGCTACAAATCGAGCAGCCGCTCTTCACAGGTCTCCACAGGCCACTTGGCTGCCCCGCCAAACACATCCACGTTGTTGTCAACCCAGGGGATGATGTTGCCAGGCATGTTGGTGGAGCAGTTAGCAATATTCATGATGTCTTCAGGCTTCAAGACTCGGTCCCATATATTGAACTGGCTCATTTCCCCAACAAAGGCTTGAGTTGCATCAAACCTTCCTCCAACAGTATCCTTAAGGGAAGAAGGAGGAAGAGGAGGAGGAGGAGGAGGAGAAAGAGGAGAGAGGAGGAGGAGGAGGAGGAACCACAGATTGGATTAGTTAAATATTTTCACCTGATTTTGTCCGTCCTTTAAAAATTGAGATGGTTGAGTTGGTCAATGTGGAAAAAAAATCAGTGGGTCTTAGTTCTGAGTAAACATCAAGGCAATGGCACTGTAACTGTTAACAGCCATAATTGACCAGGAAGTAGAATTTTCTCGACTGGGAATCAGATTCTTGGTCTATTTTGCTCAGTATCACTTATGTGAACTGGCAGCAGCTCTGCGGGGCTTCAAAGACTCTGTCCCAGACGAACCCGGAGGTGTCACAAAAAGTTCTTAGGCTCCAGCACATTTCCTCGCTCAGGGGCATCAAACCCCTTTCAGCCCAAGGGCCTAATTGAGTTCCGGAGAGGTCTTTAGAGGCTGTATTCTGCGGGTGGGCAGTGCCAAAGGCAAAATGCGACAGAGCCAAATTTCCCCTATCCCAGCATATTTTAGCATGAAGCTCTGGCCAGTAAAAGCTGGAGGTCCTATGGCAGTGGGTGTGTTTCAGTCTGAACTTTCACGTACAGTGCAATCCACAGTGCTGAAGCCCATTCCCACCAAACCCAGTTTCAGCACCATGGACAGTGCCTTGAAAGTTTCCTGTGGCGCCCAGAATAGTCTCCATCCACATTGGAGGTCCCAGCTACTGCAGGCACATGCTGCCTCAGGAAAAGATTGGAATGGGTTTTCTAAAACCTGAGATTTCTCTCTTACGGCTCACCTGCTCCTGACCAAGGATCAGGACTCCTCCAGGTTTAATGGGGTGCCAAGGAGCTAAGTTATCCCCCGTGCCAAGCTTCTCTCCATCCTGGAAAGCTTCCCACATGCCGTCCCTTGTTGTCCACGTGATGCAGATATGGTGCCATTTGCCATCGCTGATGAACAGAGGGAGCTGGGCAACCTGCACGAAGACAACGGCAAAAGTGAGCAGGAATCTCGCTGCGCCTAGGAGAGGCCGGCCAGCTGAAGAGCATTGGAAGAACCCTGACGGAGTCCGACGGAGAGTCCACCTACTCCAACTTTCTGTTCCATCCACCACCCATGGGAGCCCACCTGCAGGGCAGGAGTGTAACAGCACCCTCCCACCCATGTTCCCCAGCAGCGTGTACATATGCCTACTGACTCAGATAGTGAGGTAGCACACAGGCATTAATGCTTGAGAAGCAGATCGCCTTCTCTGTGAAGTTCTCCAACCCCTTTTTAAAGCCATCCAAATTGGTGGTCATTGTACATCTTATGGAAGTAATTCCATAATTAGCTATGCACAGTGTGAAGAAGTCCTTCCTTTTATCACAGAATTTAAGAGCCTGGTAATTTATTCTATAGGGACCGAGTAATAATTTGTCTTGACTTCAAAAATCGCTGTTTAAAAGCAACAGATTTTTCAAGACTCAACTCTAACTCATCATACTTAGGGAAAGGATACCCTCCCACTGAGGCACCGTCCTGGCTAGTTTTCTGCAGCACACAAGCCTTTGCAGGTTTACTCGGATGCAAGTTCCACTAAGTCAAATGTGGTTTATTCCCAGGCAAGGAAATGCAAGGAGCAGCCTGTGACATGAGATTAAGGCCATCATCCTGTATCCAGTTACCTGGAAATAAGCCAAACTCAGTAGGGATTACTTCTGAGTAGGTACGCATAGGATTGCACCGAAGGGACACAAGGAGGCACACATCACGCTGCTCCTTTGAACCCCTGAAGGGAAGGATTCCACTCAGCAGCAAGTCAGCCACTAGACTGAAGAAATCCGCTGACTCAAAATATGAAGGGTCAGAGTCCCGACTGTGAGTGGGCCACCTCAGCCCAGGCCTGCTAGTTTGTTGGAGGATATAGATTCATGCCCTGGAAAGATGTGATATTTAGTACTGGGATGCCAAGGAATCAAATGGAATAGAAGCAATATGTGAACCAAAAGCTGGTTTGGTTTTTCAGCTCCCAGCCGGTCCTGACAACAAGGCAATGCTCAGAGTTGAAGTCCCACACATCTGAAGATCCTCCACCATCTGCCTGAAGGGCCTCTTCAAGCATCATGTTTAAGCTGCTTGAAGGACACCCCTAAAAGTGATGTGTGAGTGCAGCACGCATGGAGATCAGAGGTGCTCACTGATCAGGGAGTCAGGATTGGCGGCAGCTCCCTGTTAAGAATCCAATTGGAGGCTGACACATGGTCTCCCGCTGCTCAGTTTATGGCATGCCTCCAAGAGGTAGCCATATTGTCTGCCCAAGAAAGCCATCTCCTTGGTTCCACATGTATCACAGCTGGTTGTGGATACTTGGTTGTAAAAGGAATGCATTATTATCATCATCATCATCGCATTACATTTCTGTACCGCTCTTCATCAAAGCTCTCTGGGCAGTTCACAACACTTTAAGTCTCCCATCCAGATTTCAACCAGGCCCAAACCTGCTTAGCTTCCAAGGTTAGGCAAGGTCAGGCACTTTAGGCTACAGATTTATGGCTTGTCTCTGAGGGCAGAGTCTCGGTGAGGCCTTGGACCTGGAGGCAAGTTATGCAGTGTGTCCTTTATTATGCAGCACTGCAACTTTCGCGGGATGTACAGTCTCTCTTACCAACCCACTGGAAAGACTCTCAGGAGTTCCGTGTTTATGAGACCACAGCAATGAGCCAGCACACCACATTTTCTCCCGCCCCCTGCACCCCCTGTCTGTCTGCTAGAGGTGCACTTCAGACACTTGCTTAACAGGCCAATCAATAGTTAAGTGACTTACAGTCCAATTTTAAAATTGCTGAGCCAACAACCCCCACTTTGCAGAATTCTTCTAGTGGCAGTGCAATTCAAGAACTGCAATTTTACAGCCTGGATCGATCCTTTGCCTTAACTTTTATCAGTGTGTAGCTGATGCCCTGCATTGCAAGAAGTTCTGCATTTCTGGGGTCCAAGATACATAGGAATCCAACTCTTCACATACCACCCCACCCTCCAGAGGCATTGCTGAAGAAAGTAACAGGATTCCTAGATTAGGGATGGCAAGGAGAGTCCTTTCCCTGCCTCCTCACCAAGTTCCCAGTGGCCTCCATGCCAGAGCCCCACCTTGAGAAAGGATCATGGCCCATGGAAGATGCGCCTGTATAGCCTGACGTATCTGATCCTGCCTCACCTTGGAAGCTAAGCAGGGTCAGGTCTGGTTGGAATCTGGATGGGTGACTTGAGTATATGATTCTTTGAGGATTGCTGTAGACCACCCAGAGAACTTTAGCTACAGGAAACATAGAAATTTTAATGATGATGATGATGATAATGATGATGATGCCCAGCCCTCTGCAGGCTGGATGAAGCTCACAGGCCAGGGGTTCCCTGCCCCTCTCCTATGAACTGCCAGGACCTGTATTAGTCCACCTGTGGCATGTGGGAACGGCTTTCTCTGTGGCTGCCCTTTGTCCGAGGAGCATCTTGTGCTGGCAAATCTGTTGTCAGCCTTCTCCTTTATCAATTCCCTGAAACAGTCCATGAATATCTCAGGAATGGGGCCAGTTCCAAATGGAGGGCCTTCAAATGGCCCCCCTCCTATGTCAGCAGGTTTCCAGTGAGGGGGGGCCACTTGCACACTACCTGGAAAGAGGACACGAATGCATTGTCCACTGTGTGTGCATAGCTGTCCTTTGTGAAGTGATCTCTCCATCGCTCACGCCCCGTCTGCACAGGGAAACGGCAGCCCCTCTTGGTGGTAAAGGGAGGCGGCCTTTTCTCTAGGGCTGGGACAGGAAGCCAGACCAACGTCTCTGGCGGAGATGAGTGGGAGTTCCCCTCCAGGCACTAGAGACAGGCTGACTTTCTCTCTCATCGCAACTCCCCAGTCTTATCTCCAGTCTAATCATAAATCTTAGCAGATCTCTTCTTTGCCTAGCATGAGGAGAGAGAATTGGCGAAAGTTGGGGTGACTCTTTTTTTCCACCCAGTGTGTCCAGTGGTGGAAAGGCAGAGGTCCACGGGTTGAACACAGATCTTGAGCCTCCCACTCGGTTGGGAGGAGCATCTCGGCTCATCTGTTTGAGCCAAGGATTTCCCGAATATTTTAGCGACACCGAACGAAGTGGTGGAAGAGCAGGAACAAACCACACAGCTAACCAGAAGGTCTCCTGCTACCTCAGCTGGCCTGGAGGTTCCTGAGAATGCCTGACAATCACCTTGTCATTAATGAGCAGCTCAATTGGGTTGTTCCCCCACTCAATCAGCACGACTTCATTGGCTTGCCCAGGGACGGCGTAAGAGAACGGTGTCCCTATTCCCGGAGACGCGCTGGACTTCAGCCACAGGCAGACGGTAAAGGCATACAGCTCGGGCAGGGTCTTTTTGATCTTCCCATACAGGTAATTGGTGCGGAGTGGAAGGGAGACCTTGAACTCATCCGGAGATTTAAAGGCGCTGGTTCCTAGAAGAAAATCCAGGAAGGAAAGGACACCATCACACCAAGATCAAGTCATAACAGGACTGCTGCTCAGACAACAAAACCTCCATGGAGTCACAGGATGAGTTTTAGATGATTAATCCTAAGAGCTGGACAGAGAATTCCGATGGCCCCTATATAGGATGGTCATAAAATCACACCAACCTTAGAGTCGGGAATACATGCATGGATTCTTCTCTCCATGCACAGCTAGACTGGAAAGTGCCATGCTGGATCCTTCTCTGTTCTTGCAAAAGTAACTTCACAGAAGGACTTAGCGGCAGGGAGAGGAGGGGATTGGCACAAGGGGTGGAAACCTCCAGCCAGAATTCAGGGAATTCCCATGGCAGTGAGCCAAGCCAAGAAGCGAGCCAAGCCAAGAAGCGAACCAAGCCAAGCCAAAATCTCTGAATGCTCAGGGACATTAGCAGCTTCTGTGCACCAAGGGCAAACTTCTTTGCACGAAGCATGAAAGCTCATGAGTCACGTGTGTGGAAGTAGACCATGGGTAGCATGTGCTCAAGCCGGCCTGATGGAATCATGCAGACTCACTTCATGCTGGATGCCCCCACAGGAACACTGAGTGCAAGGCAGGTTTAGGCAGAGAGAAAGCAGCCAGAGTCAGGGATGCCAACCCAAGGAAATCCATCAGGTCCCCACACCCAAACCAGATTTGGCCAACCAGGTTTGCCAGGAATGGCTCTTACAAAGCTCAAAAGAAAAGCTGCAGTGGTTGAGAAGCCCCACTGGAAAAGAAGTTACCTTATCTGGTTATGGGCATCCCCACAGGATGGCATCCATAGTGCACTTTGTGAGCTCAGGTGGAAGGTCCCCACACACACACTATGACTCCTCCAACATTGTGTGGGGATCATGGAACTACTCTATACGTTACTTGAAAATGTAATTTAAGGAACTTTTGTACGTTTCACCCCACATCTGGATATGAACACGCTGCTTTTCTGGGCAGGGGTTTAACCTTCTTGAAATGCCTGGGTTTGCAGAGTGTGGAGGTACATTGATTAATCTGTCTGAACAGGGTATGGGCCAGTCTTGCCCATCCCATAAATACCATGCAGGAAAAATCTATATTTAAACAATTCACGCTCTTTCATACCATTAAAACAAAATGGATATGCAGATCATTTCATGATACGTTTCCCTCATCGTGTGCGCCTGGAATTTAAATACACAAAGCCCAGCCAAGCATGCCGTTCCCCAGTAATTAAATCTAAGGATCTGATTAAATGATTAGGATTAAGCGTGTCCCCCAGTGGCTCCATGAGTAATCCACAGCAAAGGTTGCACATTTGAGACAACATGGTTGCCTCAAGCTCTGTGGAGTCAACACAAGTGGCATTTGAATGATGAATTTCAAGCAAAACAGAACTCTGCCCCATCTCATTTCTTTGAAGAAGGCAAGGGAGAAATGGTTTTCCAGAAGACTTCAGGTATATGACATGAGCTCTCTCTCTACCTCCTTCTCTCTCTCTCTCTCTCTCTCTCTCTCTCTCTCTCTCTCTCTCTCTCCAAAACTGACTATTAGAAGATTTAGGACAGATCAGAGGAAGAACTTCCACATATAACACATCACTGAAGTTACAAGAAGAATCCTGGTGGATCAGACCTAAGGCCCATCAGGTCCAGTATCGTCTTCATAGAAGCGCCAACCAGCTGCCCATGGGAAACCCACCAGCAGATCATAATGAACCCTTGCTTCACTGCACGCTCCCTCGTATAATGGAGGCAGTATACAGCCATCCTGCCCAGCAGCCATTGGGAGCCTTATCCTCCCAAGCCGCCCAGGCTGGTTGGTGGCCGTCATGGGAGAAAATGCTGTGCTCTGTGTCAGGAAGTCCACCCATAACTTCAGAAACTCACTGCCGCCAGTTGTGGTGATGGATCTTGGCTGAGATGCCTTTACAGGGGAATTGGAGTCCTTTATGAAGGAAGAAGAGGCGAGTGTACCAATGGCTGCTAGTCACGGAGGGGCCGCCCGGGACTCAATGAAGACCAATTGCTGGGCAGCGACTTCAGGAGAGGGTTCTGGCTTTTGTGAGACTCTTTAGGCTTTCTGGAGGCATATGCTTGCTCACGGTGGGAAGCAGACTGCGAGATCATACTGTGAGTCAGTATACCACTCATTAGTAACTAACGGACGGGCTGCTGCCTGCTGGTTACTGGGATTCCTGCAAAGCATGCTGGACTACTGGACAAACTCCAGCCGAAACTGCGTCAACACTTGCAATGGGCTAGTGTCCCCCTCCACCCCCGAAGGAGCAGGCTAGTTTAGGGGGGTCCTGGACTGGCCACGGGACATACACTGCTCTGTCTTCCAATGGAGGGGAATAGCCAGGGAGCTCTGGAGGAAACGCCAGGCAGCTTCCACTACTGAGCCACCACCAGCATCTGCCACCTGAGATTGTTGTCTCACTCTGCCTAGTGGTAGAGCCGGCCCTGCTTTGCTCTGTGCTGCAAAGACCTGCCGCTCAGTTTCTCACTGTAGGACTGCAGGACGCAAACCTCTGCATTCCTTCTCTGCACACCCTACAGAACGAGGGCTCCAAATTTCAGCTCCTTTAATGACATCCCTCAGCCAGGCAAAAAGAAGATGAAAGCAAAATACTGGCGATACAGATGTGTTGAGGAGCAGATGTGTCAGTTATCCGACAACAAAAACAGGAGGGGAAGTGTGATTGAGTTGTTTGCTGTTCGGAGATTCTGCACTGTAAATAGGAACCTTCTGGCTAAAAGGTGGCAGAGAAAGAGGGAGAAAGACCACAGAGAACGTGCACATTCAGCCTGCTGGCATCACACTGCTATCCCACCTTTTATCCTCTTGCAAGGAATCCAAGGTGGCTTCCATGATACTCCTCCTCTCTATATTCTCACAACATCCCTGTGAGGATAACTAACAGATGCTATTAACAGCAAATTGAACTTTTCAGACTCTGCACACCTGAGCATTTCCTTCCTGTCCGTCTGTGTTGTATAGATTTGCTTTCAATTATCACCTGCCATTTCCACACCACTGACGATGCTGGCTAGAGCTGGGAGGGTTCAGAGGCCAGAACATTTGGGTAGCCACACAGATGCTTGCCCAGCCCTGTGTTACAGCCTTCTTTGAATGCCCCCAGACCCTTCCAGACCCTTTTCACCAAGACTGATCCTACAGTCATCAGCATTCCAGTGACTCACTGGTCTTCCCCTGCCCCCAGCTCATTTTTGTAACTTCTTTGTTGATTCAGAGGTTCAGAGATCTCAAAAGTTTGCACAGTTCATATGGTTTTTGGTGGGGCTAATAAACAGTATAACTTTCATCTGGACTGATAGATTTAAGTTGGATTTTTGTTTGCTGCTTCATCAAGTTATTGCTAAACAAGAAACCCCACCTTGAAATGTTTGGAGCTGTTTAATCCTTGATCTGGATCAAACCCCCCAGAGCTATGAAATGGGGCAGGATATAAATACTACAATAAGTAAGATAAAAATAATAATCAATTCCCGATTTGTGTGGCAAGAGGGTTGGCTTGGGCAAGATGGCCTCATCCCAAGGGCCTCATCCTCTCCCCTTCTTGGCCCAATCCATACACCAGCCAGGGAAAAACCAGTGGTGCCTCTGCTCCTTCTCTTTGCACATGCCCCTGTTTGCATGTTTGGAGTGAGGAAGCAAACAGGCAAAAAAGCCAAAGAGAAGGAGGGCCGTGGAGCTCCAGGAATTAAAGACAGCATCCCCGGAAACGCATTCCCGGTGGTGCCAACTCCCACGACTGGCCCCTTCTTTAGTTCCATCAATACTGGTGTTTGAAAAAATAAATACTGGAGGAATGAAGAAATAAATACTGTGCCATTTTTCTCCCCATGCCACAAATTGCTCAGTGCATTGCTGCGAGCTACATCGGTCGGTAGGACTGCACTGGCTGTTGGATCCCAGGTTCCCTGCCACAAGCCCTTGGCGACCTCATTCCTTAAGCAGCTCATTCTAGGAGGAGGGTGTAAGACTGGCACTGGTGCTTACCTCTTTCAAGCTCGGAAACTCTTTCCAGAAGGGCATTCAAGGCTGCCTCAGTCCTTTGCCGGTGGGTGGACGTCTCATTATGGAGCAGGGATTTCTCATTCTCCAGTTCTGCAACTTTGCTCAAAAGCTGGCGCTCTAAATCTCCCAGCCTTCTCTGAAGCATCTCTCTGAGATCATTAGGGAGAGCTGCATAGGACACATTGACTCGGAGCTGGTGCTTTAAGGGGGTCAGAAAGAAAACCACATGCTGCTGTTTATTATAATTCTCATTGATTACACGTTTGTGTTTAGGTGTAGAAAGTCCCAACTATCTGCCTGGATTACTCATGCTTTGATGGAATTCAGGCTGGGCTTCTGTCATATGCAATAAATAGGCTGTGCATGAAGCTACATTTTATTATTATTTTTTATTATTATTATTACATTTTTATACTGCCCATAGCCAAAGCTCTCTGGGCAGTATACAGCAATAATCATAGAATCATACACTCAAGTCACCCATCCCACTTCTGCCCAGGCCTGACCCTGCTTAGCTTCCAAGATTAGACAGGATCAGGCACTTCAGGCTACATGGAAGCTACATGGAAGCTACATGGAAGCATTTAAGGATTTTTGGGAAGTTTCAGCTGATGCATAATGCTGCAGCTGAAGTTACTGGCTGTCATGCCAGTGTGGTGGGGTAGCCCCCTGGTTTTCAGTCTGACCTTTAAAGGAGCTATCCATGGTTCCGGAATTTTGGAGGTTTCAGCATCAGGAATAGCTGCTTAAATTTTTAGACTGAAAACCAGAGTGGATACCGCACCACACTGAAGGCAGCTCACCAGGAACATGGCTGCCTGCAAACCAATTGCAGCAGCCACATCTGGGCATTTCTGATTCCCATTTAAAGTTCTGGCTTTAAATTTTAATGCCTCAGCTGGTCTGGAGGATGCCTGGAAGGACGCCTTCTTCCACAGCAGGCTGCCCACATTCTAGGGCCATCAAAAGACGTTCTTCTTGCTTGCCTGCTGCCAAAAGGCCAGAAGGTCTCTTTGCTAGTAGCCCCACCCCTCTGGGAGCAGTTTTCATCCAAGGCTTGTCAAAGCCCTTCCTTGCAGGACCTGAAGACCCCCAAGGCCTTCACGGGCCTTTTCAAGATCTTGCATGTTTTACTCAGGATCGCCGTTTCACTGGTGTTTTCTGTTTTTAAGGAAAACTATGGAAAATTCAGTTTCTATTTGAAGTTGGCATATTAATGTATGTTTTGTGTGGCATTCCATATGTGGAGGAGGGCTCTAATCATAATCGCGATTAAATAAATAGATAAAATCTCAAAGTACATCCAGCATTGATACATGTTCACATGTGACTTGCTGTGGGGCGATCTATGGGAGCAGATGGAGGCCGTGTGTGGGCTTTTTCACTGTGATCTAACAGCACCAGAAAAATGCTTGTGGTAGGATGGCCACGTATGAATCATCAACAAGGGAGGAGAAGCACACCCCGAGTAACAGGAGTTTGATTTCCATACAATTTGCCTATGCCTGGTTATATGTACAGGTGCAAATCTTGAAATGATTTTCCAAATTCAGTTAGAAACTCTGTTCATCTCACCATGGTGGAAAGACTGTGACCAGGTGAGCTGAGCATTTCTTGTTCCACCTGAGGTCCAGGGGCTGACCTGAGACGGGCAACACTTCCTACAGCTTTGTACCTTTAAACTGGGATCAGAGGAGAGAACCCTTCAAATCGAGGGACTTTGCAAATCAGAGGACTGTCCTCCACAGAAGAGGTCAGTTGGCCATCCTGATTTGGTAACAGACAGAGAGCAAAGTGCACGGAGTGGACACTTTGTCCCACCGATCTGATTTCTGAGAGAGACATTCTCACTCCCTTTTCCCTGCAAGGAATCCAAGACCTCCTGCCCATTTTTCCCCTCGTGAAAGCACCTTCTCTGAATGAAGTCCGACAGGTTCTTACAACAGAGTTGGTTTCCAAATAGGAATGCTAACGAGAGTGATCTTGCTTTAATTTCCAGCTTAATGACTCAGTTACAGCTTGCGTGTGAAAAGTGCATTGTGTGATCACAAAGGTTGGGGTGAAAGGAGAGGCACACACGTTTTGTAGAAGGGCAGCAGCTCCCCTCTCCTTCCTCTAGTACAAGATCAATAAATGCGGCACACATGTCCAGACGGTGGCACCAATTCGACAAGTGCTGTAAATCAAAGCATTAAAGCTGTCCACAATGCAATGCCCGTCAACCAGGCTTCCAGTGTCTTCCATAACTGCTGCTTGCTGGAACAGATGTTGAAATGCTTTCAGCCCAAAGGCTGGATTCAATTTCTGAGAAGCTGTCAAGGGGGTGGGGATTTGACTGTTGTGGGGGCAAAAGGGAAAATAGGCTGGGGCAAAAGGCAAGGAAGGATTGCTGAAAGAAACAAAAATGCCAGAGTATTTTAGCCTGAAGTTCATTGCCCATCATTAAATCTTGGAGAGAATTTCAACCTTTTGCAGTAGGAATGGGAATCATCAAAGATGGGAAACCACCAAATTATGGAGGGTCACTGGAAAGGTTGGTGGCCAGGAGAAGAGGCTCGCTTTTCCAGGAGACCCTAGAAGTCTGGATTAGCACCCCAAGAGGGACAGAATGGGCTCCTGGGCTTGAAGTTCTCCACTTTCATCTTCTCCTGTGGACCAGACATGGAGGACTTTGGGAAATGCCCATCCTACAAGATGGTACCACAGCATGACTTTGTGTTTCAAATAAAAGCAGGGGCAGGGAAAGCCACCAGATCTCAGCAGACAGAGATCAGCTCTGCCCTATGGGAGGAGGCATATTCTCAATACAGAGATGCTAGGCTCACTCAGGTTTGCACATCAAACTGAAGTTTACAGTTGTGCCCAGAGGTCAACTTTTGGACACTGGTTACAAATGGAAGGAATGGATCATGTCTGAATTCTCACTTTGCTATACACACAGAGTTGGTGGGGGGGGGGGGGGGGGCGGGGGGGGGGGGGGGCAGAGGCTATGCAAGCTGACCTCTTCTTGAATAGTCAGGTTCTACAATAAAACCAAAAACATCTAGCAGCAATGATTTCACAACTAGAAGTGGGGGCCAGATGTCTCTAAGACATTACATACCAAATTCTAATAGAATTGTAGCCTTAAGACTGCAAAAGGCCAAGGTAGTTGTGTTGACCATAAAAAAGAAAGAAAGAAAACCCTATAAAAAATTTAAAACCTTCATTTTGGAATCTTTTTTGTGGTGGCAGGGAAATAATAAAGGTATTACACCAATATGGGATGTATAATATTGTGTGAGTCCACCTTTACAGTTTTTGTTTGTTTATATCCAAGCACTTTTCCTTTCCAAGAATCCAAAGCAGCTTGCCTAATTCTCCTCCTCCTCCCAATCTTATCCTCACAACAACAGCCCTGTGAGGTAGGTTGGGCTGAGCGTCTGGGACTACATATTGATTAAAATTGGATAGAGCCATGTGCCGGTGGAGCCACACGGCAAATGACTGTAGCAGGAAGTCAGCCTTCCATGCCCACTGCACATGACTGTAGATGTGGCCCCATGCTAAATGTGCATCCTTTTATTGAAATATCCTTTCTACCAACCAGTCCACTGATGCATTGAATTTCCCACTTTCTTCCTCCTTTTCTAGTATGATAAACATAAAACATTCCACAGGTTAATAAACAAGCTGTCTAGTATTCTAAGAAGCATGTCAGTGAATGTCCGTTTTCTAAGAAGGAAAACTAGTCCAATTGTTATAGACTTGTCCTCAAGAGTTATAGCTTTGTTATGTTATTTTATTACTACAGGATGTCTTCACTCTACTCTCAAGTAAACACTATTCAAATGGATTGAATTTTGCATTGATTCTTAAAAGCTTTTTGCTCTGTCCTTCAAAAAGACAGCTGGGCTCCATCAAGAGACGTATACTGTTGTAAATAATTATGCATTAGTGAGTACTGGAATAAAAACATGTTGCCTTCGGCTTCATTCATTTCACTTGTCTTTGCATGAGACTGTATGCTTCCGTAGTTAACAACCACTCAGCTATTAGCAGCACAGCTCGGAACTGCACTTAACTTTTCATCTATTTATTTTTTTTGCACTAATGTTCTTATTTGGCACCATATGCCAAGGTCATTTTATCTAGAAGGCTGAGGTTGCATTGCAGCCTCTTAAGTAAGTCCTTTCTTAGTTGAGGCACGGATTAAGAAGAAAAGAAATGAAAGGCATCAAAGCAGGAAAATAAAATCCATGTTATTGGAAGACACAAACAGAAGAGCTATTCCCATCACATGGAAGTGGTTGGGAAGGCATTTTTAAATAAGTTCTGGAGACTTTACTAATTGCAATCAATTTTCACAAGACCAAAACCTGCACCAAGGCACTGAATATGGTCATTTCTTGTGATTTATGAAGAATTGATCAATGCCCGACCTCACCCTTTCTCTTTCATTATCTCATCCTCTTATATGTGACATGGAAAGTAGCTTCTCTCTGGAATGTAACTATACCATTTCCCTTTACAAAAAAATTAAGAATCAGAATTGCTTGATACCTGAGCAGACTTTTTAAAATCCCATTAAAGATGAGACCATCCCTGGAAGTTTCTGGGAAACGGCACTTGTTTACTGCAGTGCCTCAGTGGGCAGAAACTTCACTAATTGTTCCCCCTGGTAATTTATTGCACATATATTTAGAAAGTGACAACAATCCCCCAGGGGGAGAAACACCTTCAGTTAGCAAGAATATGAGGCTGCAGCTTGGTAATGTTGAAGAACACTGGAAATTACAAAAGAGAGGTTGACAGGTATGAATTTGGTGCTCTCCGAAACCAAATCATCCCAGAATTTGAACCTAGAACATCACTGTATGCTATAGACAGGAGCAGAAATACAGACTACAAAGAAAGATACTTGGCAAAAGGCAAAATTGCAAAGTTTCCCAAGCCCTGCTAATGTGTTCGGAGCCCTTCTTGGTGGGCTACTAGTCCTGCAAGTATTTATTTAGCTGTGTGCTGGGCACTGCATGGATACAACACCATCACTGCCCAGAAAATTGCTTAAGCGATCCACATAATAATAGAAGAGCTTTGCTGATAGGTACATTGTATAGTGGCCAACCAATTGACAACAGGGACTTGTTGCCTCACCAGCAAATGGTATTCAAAGCTACACTGCCTCTAAGCATGGAGGCTCTAGTTGAACAATCATGCTCCTATAGTGTCGAGTTTTGGATTTAGATTGATAAGACTTGGGTTCAGACCTCAGCCCCAAGACCTGCTGAGTAACCCTGGGACCAGTCATTGTCTCTCAGCCTAGAATTGCTGCCAGGATAAAGCAGGGAGGGGGATACACACACACACACACACACACACACACGCATATACACCCCCTTGAACTCTTGGTAAAAGAAAGGGACAGAAGACCGTCTCAATGAGTCCCTTAGTGCTTAGCAAGCATGTTTAGTAATTACAACTGAAGCATTGCACCCAACTGGGTCCTTCCACTCCAGCACAGTTCCTGTAGCTTTTATTCACATACGGTGTATTGATCCCGAATAGATCTCCACCGGAGTACAGGCAGACCAACTTTCTCATTCCCAGTCACCGCGATGCATTGCTTAACCCCACGGAGACCGCTTTCCCTTCAGGACCCTGGACAGCTCGCTCGCCGCCCCGCCAGCGTCCCCGCGGGAGGCCGGGCTCGGGGCTCCCTCGCCTCGCGGGGACACCGTTCAGCGCCGCGGGCAGCTCCCGGCTCCCCGGGGGGCGCGCCCCGCTCCCCGGCTCGAACGCCCGAGGAGACCCGCCTGCCCCGACCCGCTCGCGGCGCTCACCTCCAGGTTCTCCAGGCGATCCTTGAGGGTCTGCATGGTGCGGCTGAGCTGGTCGATGATCTGGCCGGGGTCCCGGGGCAGGTCGCCCATGGTGTCCTTGCCTTTGCCGAACTCCTTCCGCCACGTGCCGCCCTTGCCGTCGGCGCCCTCGCAGCGGCCCAGCTTGGCGGTCAGCTCGCGGATGGCCTCGCGCTGGTTGCCGATGGTCTCCTTCTGCTGCAGGATGGTCTCCCGCAGCTGCAGCACGGTGGCCTTCAGCTCCTCCTCGGGGGGCAGCCCGCCCCCTTGCATGGGGATGGGGGGCAGCGGGCAGCCCGGGTTGGCGGCGTCCAGAGGCAGCGAGGTGCACACGAAGCGGCTGCCCGGGGGGCTCTCCTGGGCGCCCGCTGCCCCCCACGCCGAGAAGGCAAGCCCCGCCAAGACAGGCAGCAGCATGCCGGCCAGTCGTGGGGCTGACTACGCGCGCCGCGGGGACAGCCGGCTCAGCATGGGGGCCGGGCGGGCGCAAGACCCGCTGGGGAGCGGGGGAAGAGCCGGCAAGTTGCGCTCCCGGCCGGGCCAAAAGTTCCAGCCAGTTTTCTTGACGGAGCAGGAGGAGGAAGAGGAAAGGCAGCCAGCGACGGGAAGCCGACCGCGGCCGTGCCGGGCTCGCCGCCCCCGAGCGACTCGCGGCCAGCAAGGAAGCCCAGCCGAGGGCTCTGCTTTGCGCTCGCCCGTCGCTCGGCGCCTTCCCGGGCAAAGTGCTCGCGCGCGCTCTTAAAAGGCTGAGCCGGGTAAGCTGAGAGGTGGGAGGGACCGCGGGGGGGGGGGGGGGGGAGGGCGGGGGGGGGGGGGGGCGGGGGGGGGGGGGGAGAGCGAGAGCGAGAGAGAGAGAGAGAGAGAGAGATGTGGGGCAGCCGAGCCCCGGTTGGTCGCCAAGCCCACGTGATGCCTCCCTCTCAGCCCCTGGAGGCATCCAGGACCAGCTGCTCCGGAGCGCAGAGCTTGGATGAGGCGAGGGAGGGAGAGAGGAGCACAGGATGTCGCTCGGGGGAGCAGCGGGACGTCGCGCCAGGGCGGCGCGCTGTTGCGCACCAAGCTCTCCTCGACCCAAGGCACCGGTTGCGAGCTGCGCTTCCTGCGCCAGTTCGGCTTATGGGCTCTCTCGGCAAGGCGATTCCCAGGTTCGCTTTTTCGCTTGGCTGGGCTGGGCTGGGCTGGGCTGGTTGTTTTGCTTTGCCTTGTTCTGAGCACTATTATTTCTGAAAGTGAAAGGAAGGCGTTTTCCTGCTTGTGCAGGTGTGTTTCCCGCAGGAGGACCCCGCCGCTTAGAGGTTGTGGAGCAGAAAAGCAGGCAAGGAAAAGCACTTTGATCCCAGTGGGACCCACACTGCATTTCTCTGAGGGAAAGATTTTGGTCCAGAAAAGCTTTGCTAGGTAGTGAGGAACGGATACAAACACACACATTTCTTTCTAAATTTTGCTGGCGTGGAAATTGTGCCATTTTTCCAAACACTGAGAACCTGCTTTCTTGCTTCTCTGCATATTTTATGGACATATTTCTTCATTAAATTAGTATGACACCCAGTTGACAACTGCCTTTGGGGTGGTTTAAAATCCTAAAACCGAACAGGAACAAAATTAACACATGGACAAATGCAAAAATATTAGTATCAAAATGGCATAATAATAAACATTAAAGAGGAAAATGAAGAAAGTGGCCACAACAGATTGAAAAATTAAATGTTTGCATATAGAGGAGAGGCTTAATCAATATCTGTACGAAGGCATGAAGGTGGCCTCTACTTAAAGTCTACCTTCACGTTCATTTTAAAAATTAACATAGAAACATAGAAACAGAGCGAGTCAGAAGGGACCCCCCAGGCCATCTAGTCTGACCCCCGGCTCCAGCCAGCTCCGCTCACGACATGCCCACCATCTACATGTCCAGCCTAAGAACTACAAGAACCACAAGAAGGAAGAAAAGGATCCTTAGAGGTCTCCAAAGAGACTTTGGATTTCTCCATGCAAGTCATGTATTGTACACTCACAATTCCTCATTCCTTGTAGTTTGTGGGTGCTTAGCACAAAGTCATTATTGTCTAGGGTCTTTGCTACCATTTCCATAGCTTTTTAAAAAAAAATGGATCAAGAAAAGTTGGTATTACCTGGAAATGGCACTAAGAGGAGTGCCTTCTATAGTCTTTTCACAGCGCTTCTATAGCACAGCACCACCTAGAGGCTGAGTAATGGAACATAAAGAAAGACTGAGCAAGAAAAAGCCCTGGAAATAAATATGTGTAAAGGAGCTGATTGTAATCCTGCAGAGCTTCTGGAAGCAGGTGCCTGGGTAAAGTGCCCAGAACTATCCAAGCAATAGTGGCTGTCCAAAGGTTTCATGGATCACCGGGGATCTGAACACAGATCTCAAGAATCCAGAGCCAACATTCTTCTGTGCTAACTCGCTTTTACTGAGTGAGCCCACCAAGGCCCATGCTGCCCAAGACTAAAGCCCCCGCTAGCCCTGTCTAGTCCAGAATTCTCTTCCCCCAGTGGCCAACCAGATGCCCACAACAGCAAGCACTGACCTGTATTCCCCAGCACATGGCATCTGTAGCTGCACCACTCTTCCAATACCAGAGGAAAAATACAGCCATTATGACTAGCACCCTTTGGTGGCCGTCCAAGCTGGTGGCCCATCCCTAGTTCCAGTAATGCATCATGTTGAAGAATTTCAGTTCATGTTTCTCCTCTCACCTGGTTCCACCCACAAAAGAAGTCCACATTCTGTGGTCATTATGCACCCACTTTTGCCAACCAAATCCCCACCATGCTGAATAGAGATAATGGTCAAGAGGTCCAGCACAGGGGGAGGTCAGACCAAATCAGATCAGGTATGTGCATTTTTCTATGAAAATTTCTATGAAAATGGATTCTTCAGTGGAGCAGTTTTTTTCTGAGCCATGAATATTCTGAGGACCAATTTTCCACTTTAAAGAAAGATTTGCACTAATTCACATCTGTACTAATACACATATTTTTGTTATACTTGCTTAGAGGTTAATCTAATACGAATCTTAAATAGCTCACACACACATATTGAAATTACATTCCAATACAATTTTTAAAAGCATTCCAATTATAATAGTACAGAGCAATGGTTGAGTGGGGACTAGAACACAGATCTCCTGAGTCCCAGTCCTGAATTCTTAACCACTGCACCACACTCTACCACATATTTTGTGAACTTTGATTTTTAAAAAATCCAACTTTTTTTTGGAAATAACTTCCGTAGAAACATCTCATGGTTTGCATTCTAAACAATTATACATCTAACCAGATACATTATAACCCACCTAACGCAGAGGTCTTAATTATATCAACAATTCCTTTCTTCCTCAAACAGAGAAGAGTAAGGCCGTGCATAATGTTGAATCTTTATTATTCCCATATATTAGAAAAACTGACAACTTTGCTTCTGCCTACTCCTCTTACCATCATAATCTTGGTTAATTATTCCCACTGTTTCCACTGTAGGAGCACCCACACACAAAAGCAGCCTGAGAAAACTTCAAGGTTTCCAGAAGTGCAACATTTATTTAGAAAAAGCATCCTAAAAGGGAGGGAAAAACAGTTCAACAAACCACAAAGAAACAATAAACCTTCCACCCCCAAAAACTAAGCAAGCAGCCCAATAAAAACGGTGCATGCTCAGGGTCCATGGAATGTGGACTCCATTGCAGGTGGGAGAGGAAAAGAAATGGAGTATACTGAACCGGGGCTCTCCATGCCTCCCCTCATCCAGACACTGTTGCTCCAATATGAGGACACGTTCAGTTGTCTCTCACCAAGAGAAGAGTTCTCTCTTTTTCCAAAGGTTTCGAGATCTGGCAATGAGGTCACTCAAATAGCCAAATTTGACAAGCCCAATTGAAGATTGTTCTAGCATTTGATCAGGAGTGCCATAGAAAACTAGGGACAATACGCAGAGAGGGGGGAGGAGGAGGAGGAGGAGGAGGAGGAGGAGGAGGAGGAGGAGGAGGAGGGAGGGAGTGAGTTCTACAGGCTCACTGTGGGAAGACTTCACTATTGCCATCACCAGCAAGGTCAAAGGGATGATCAAAGTGTCCCCAAAAGAGCTCCATTTCTAATCGGCCTTCTTTACTCCTGTCTGTGTTCAAGATACTTGCATGGGATTATCTCCAGGGGATGCCCATGCTAGGCTGTTGCTGCAAACACAACAAAGAGTATTGTGGCACCCTAAAGACTCACACCTTGAGTTTGGCCTAAGCTTTTGTGGGCGCTTCCACTTCATCAGATGCATGGAGGGTTAAACCTGAACTGACAGGTTTATACACACATGCAAGGCAGGGGACAGGTGTCAAGTCTGTGCTCTGGTGGAATCAAAAGTGCAAGATGTACAAGCAGTGGCGATCATCGTAATAGCCGCCATTCACGAGTGAGGATGAGAGAAAGCACAGGCATTGCGGCAGGGGAGAGCAAATCGACATGCCCTGTGATTGAAACAAACCTTTCAGTCCTTATTCAAACCACACAAAATAGAGTCGCAGCCCTTGACAAATTTTGCATTGCCGATTTCACACTGATTGCTGTCTTTGAAATGCCTTTCTTCAAGAAGGGCGACCTTATGGTCACTGTCCCAGCAAGCTGAAATGCTCTCTAGATGCAGTTTCATTGTGCACACACAGCTGTGCACATGCGCACACACACACGCACACAGAGAGAGAGAGAGAGAGAGAGAGAGAGAGAGAGAGAGAGAGAGAGAGAGGCAGCAGTGTCCATAAATCTACCAGCGGGCCTTTAAAGTGCCACGAGATTCTTTGTTGCGTGGGATGAATTACTGCGGAAGCAGTCAAGGGTTCATCCAACCCTGTGCAAGAACATCAGTCGCCTCCACTGTGCCTACTGTGGGAAAACTCAACTTTTCCCCATGTTTTCTTCATTAACACAGACCAATTACTGGTAAATAGCAGCCGTCTCCAACCTTCAGAGGCATGTGGACTGCAACTCCCATAATTCCCACCCAGTAGAGCCATTGACTGGGAATTCTGGGTGTTGCAGTCCAAAAGTGTCTAGAGGCACAAGGTGGGGAAGACTGGTCTAGAGGGTGATTGTTGCTGGGTTCTTTTGATGTTATATCTTCATCGTCACCATCCAGGTTTGTTTGTTTTTTAAGTTGCAAAGGTGCCCCAGGAAGGGAGGGAGGGAGGTCATGATGTCACAGCCTACAGCCAATCAGCACTATCCCCAGGGGGGCAGTACCACCCACTTTGGGAATCATGATATACCATATTCTTCTACAAAAAAGAACGTGTTTTCCCAAGGAAATTCAAGGGAAGAAAAGATCAGCTCAGGGGAGAACGGAACCATTAGATGCGGGCTTGACAACTGAAGGGTTAATGCACACCATCTAAGCCCCCTCCCCCCTCATTAAACCC